CACACACACACACACACACACGTCCCCATGACTACATTGACCTTCATTGATTTTCTGGAGACTCTAACCTTGACCATAGTTACTACGTCCTTAACCCTAACCCTAACCTGAATGTAAACCTTACGTTTTGGGGACTTGGGTTTTTGTTCCCATAATGAAGACAAGTCCTCACAACATTAGTAGATACCTATACTACACACACAAGCATAACTTGCATAATCTTGTCTAAATGATCTTTTCTATTGTAACATCAGGAGTGTGTCAGCTTGTGCGGAAGATTTTCATCTATCACTGATGATCTTGGCTTGTGCGAGTCACATGTTTTTTTGTTATGCTGACAAAGCCCCTAATTTCCCACTCGCTTTTGTCATCAAGTCTTCCCACCATAATTTAAAGCATCACGACAGATAATCTCACCTGGGATCTCTTCAGTGCCTTCTTCTATATCTCCAGAGGAAGCCTCCATTGGTCTGAGCTCTAAAGAAAAGTGTACAGGAAAGTGTGAAAAGAAAGGTACTAATACAAAGTAGCAACTGTGACGATAAACTTAAGGTACAGAATTTTTTTTTAAGTTGTCTTTATATGCTGAGGGGAATCTAACATGGTGTGAGCGTGTGATCTCTGTTCTCTAGGGAGCTTGCATGCACTTGATGCATTTGTGTGATTGCCAGAGGATGTTACACTGGACTTAAGGTTCAAAGGTTTATAGGTGTTATCAGGAACAGAACAAACCTTTACTGCTGCTCAGCGGGGTGTGATAAAGAAACTGTCTTCACGAGCAACAAAATACAAACAATGACACTTTAACAAGAGCATAGTGCACAGTAGAAAAAACATTTAGTGCTGCCTCATGAAGAAAACACTCCATGCAGGTGAAAGAGGAGGATTTCTGGTACAGCAAAGCTGAGTGCAGCCTGGACAACTCTGGAAAAAGCAAAAAAATGTTCGTCCCAGCCAGCTTCACTCATGCCTGACAAACATCCTGATTGGTTTGTCATGTCAATGAATGCAAGATTTAGTGCAGGGAGTGTGTTAGCTTTGTTTTACATACTTGCCCACCCCTGGTGATACTGTTCTGTTAGTGATTTGCATAATTGTGATTTCAGTGTTTCATCTCCCTGTGTATCCTAGAAACTGCATGGTGTCAACAAAGCTTTATCCTTTACAGCACATCTGCCTGATAAGACAAGATGTGTCTGCACTTCACTGTACTTCTCATATCACTCAACAGGCTCAAGCATGAACTCTTAAAAAAAATACAGGCACATAAAAGCAGCTCGAGACTCTGAAAGTTGCCTGTGGTGTCATATTTTTACTTACATAACGTTTGAACCTCTCGCACTACACATGAATTTCTATTCGTCAGTGGAATTACCACCACAGGGAATGAAAAAGTGTTCACGCATCAGGCAAGAGTTTTTGCCATCCGGTGAGCCAAGATATAGCCCCAACAGAACCAGAGGATAATCTCATGGATTATTGACATTGCAGAGAGATCCTTGTAAAATTTCACAGCAACATAATCTACAACAGCTTAATCACAAACTTCTCATGCCACCGCACAACATTCACCTGACATGCACAGGAAACATAGCTCTGTTTCTCAATGTGAAAACCTGTAAAACATACAGACAGACAGACAGAAACACACATACACACACACACACAATCACACACAATGCAGTAAAACAATGAGTGAACTAACCCAGCGTTCAGCAGCAGCTCTGCTCCCCTTCCTCCAGTTTGTCCTCCACTCCGTGTTGAGTTGTTCCGTCTCGGCTGTGTCCCTGTCCTAATGTTTAAACCTCAGGCTTGCGTCATGCACATCTGCGGATGAAGGGAGATGCAGAGGGAAGGGAGCGAGGGAAGTGGAAGAAGAAAGAAAGAACAGGCAGGGAGGGAGAGAGAGAGAGAGAGAGAGCGACAGAGAGAGAGAAGGTCACTTCATGACAGGGTGAGCAAATGCACAAAGAGAAAAGAGGACAGGAGAGAGAGAGAGTGATTGAGCAAGAGAGGGAGAGGGAGAGAGAGAGAGAGAGAGAGAGAAAGAGAGAGAGAAAGAGAGAGAGAGAGAGAGAGATACTCTATTACATTAGTGGCACACTGTGGCCCTTTGCGCTAAGCTCCTTATAAAACGCTAACCTGATTTTAGGCCCAGAAATGAGAGTAGAGGGAAAAAATAAAGCTCCAGTTGGAAAGAGGACGAGGATACAAGAATTACAGCCCATAGAACTGTTTACACTTTACACCCCTGTGTGTGTGTGTGTGTGTGTGTGTGTATACACACACACACACACACACACACTTTTTCGGTCCTCACTTTTTCAGAGAGCTATTAAAAGAGAGATGACTTGTTTTATGGATTAGGGCTTAAATTATGTTTAGGTTGGCATTAGGGTTAGGCATTTAGTTGTGATGGTTAAGGTTAGGTTAAGAGTTAGGCATTTAGATGTGACGGTTAAGGTAAAGGTTAGGGTTTGGATGTTTGGCAGTTGAACTGGCAGCCAAAGACAAAGGAATGGCCGACACATCAGTCAATAGCTCTCATATTCATATACTGGTACCCTACTATCACACTGGATAGTATTCAGAGATGAGACTATCGAGGCCACTGGGCTAAAGTCAGTGAGAGGGATGGAGAGCAGCAGGAAATATAAACCTGCAAAACATAAACCCAGCCGCTGACATCTGGATTACATGCAACAAACCACATGCAGCATGTTAACAGTGACATAAGAGTCTGGGATGTGCTGTTTTTTAAAATTCCAATTCCATTCATGGATTTGTTGTCAGTAATCTACACATCCCGGACAGTATTCATGCAGGCATATCTTATTTTATAATATGTTTACAGCAAATGTATTGTCCTATAGAGGAGCTGTCTGTACATACTGACATGGTACTGACTGACACTTGTAATGCAAGGTCCCTTTCAACAAGTCAAACAGAAAACAGTAATGATGGTCTCTGGTTCATGTGATTCGCTGATGGATTATCATTTTTTTCCTCTCAAAGCCCAGATGGGGCCTGTGCATATCAAGATTAAGGCCGATAGATAATCCGATTGCAGCACTGTTTGAACTCAGGAGCGTGACCAGTCATACAAACAAATGATTCCCATGAATATTTAATGAGGTTTGTTTTGGGAAAATTATTTTGTTAAATTATCATCAAATTCATATGAAGAGAGACACAAATCACTGCTACCACAGCATACTGATGATGAACAACCCTACTAACCCTAACACATGAACACCAGATGATATATGAACTGAGGACTGCATATTTTGAAGTTGTGTGTCTAAAGCCAGGAGCAGCAGAAACTGTTGTGTAAAGGTGGAATGGAATAAAAATTTGAAAATGCGTTTCCTGCTAAAAATGCAGTGTGAATGCTGAGTTGCTTTGCTGAATCAAGCTGAGAGTGCACACTGGCTTTGCTGAATTTGCAGGAAAGCAAAGCAGAAGACTTTTTTTTTTTTTTAATGTTTGCACTAAAAGAAGTGGAAGACTTTAAATAATTAACTGACAAAAATGTTGAAATGCAAATCACCAACTGGCAGACGAAGTCTGAAGGAAATTCTAGAAGCATGTGTGTTTGTAAGCGTGTATGTGTGTGTGTGTGTGGTAGAAACTGTGATTATATGCATCATATCAATGAGTTGAAAGTTTTAAAACCACATTCCTGACTTTGATGTAAGGGTCTGGCAACATGCGTCTATGGGGTTTACGAAGGCTCCTCTGGTTGTTTAAGGTTTTACTGTGAATAACAAAGTCCTAGCACAAATGTTTTTACAAAATAAGCCACAGTTTATGTGTACGAAGTGAATGTGGGAGCTGCAAGAGAAGAAGATCCAAATACATCAAAGGAACTGGTGAATCCTTTGATGATTGTGGTGAGATCAAATCATCTAAGGACACTGGTAATCTGCTGTTGGACACACACCTGGCATTAATTGTTGATACAATACAGTAGATGGTGAAATCAAGAAATGTCGATGTGGGATAATGTTTTCTTGTATCCTCCTAATCCAGAAATTTCTGATGAGGAGATTGAGGAGGAGATTGAGGAGAAGATTGAGGGGGAGATTGAGGGGGAGATTGAGGAGAATATTGAGGGGGAGATGGAGGGGGAGATGGAGGGGGAGATGGAGGGGGAGATTGAGGAGAATATTGAGGGGGAGATTGAGGGGGAGATTGAGACAGAGGTGACTGTGGGGCAGAATGAGGCGGAGATTGAGAAAGAGACTGAGGAGAAGTACTTCATGTCTGAATCTGAGCAGGTAACTGTCTAAACTAAAAATAAACAAAACCACCATGGCACAAAAATGATTTGCTCTTTTGAATTAAAAATAGCTGCAGACTTCAGACCACCTAAATAAAATTATAAGTAGACTTGAAATAAAATGAATCAGAGAAGGAATCATTTATTAATTTACTGATTATCTTATCTTGCAAACATTCATTTTTCTTTTGAAATGTAGCCCATCTTGCACTATTATCAACTCAATTTCATCAGTTGACAACACTTAAATATTTCTGTCCTATGAGTAAAATAAACATGTTAATAGCTTGATATATACTGTATGTTGAATTAAAAACATTGTTCAAGAATGAACATGAATGAAAAATAATAACTGTCTTATGTTTTACAGGAGAAATTCCCAAGTACATCAATAACTTCTGATCTACAAAGAGAACTGCAAATGGAAAGAAAAGCCAGTGCTGCTCTTAAGGAGGACTTGAGGATAGCAAAAAGAGCTCACGCCAAAATAAAAGAAGCCCTGAAGAAGGAGCGAAAAGAAAAAGACACTTTTTCAAAAGTTTTAAAGAATGAGCAAGCTCAAAAAGACAGTCTTCGTGTTGAAATGGAATAAACGAAAAAGAAAATGACTAATCTTAAGAGATCGGAGAAAGATCACCAGGAAAGACACAAAAAGCTTCAAAAGCAGATAGAAAAAATGACAGCTGATCACAAAAGCAATTATGTGATGATCAAAAAACTCAAACGTGAGCTACAATCAGTTGAGAATCTAAAAGAGGAACTCTGTGAGCTGAGGCTGAAAAACTGTGAAAAAGACAAAGAAATCCAATCCCTTCTCTTCAGTATTGAGAATCTTCAAAGTAATAATGAAGCCAAGGGCACTACTATTTCCATGCTGCAAGAGAAAAATACCCAGTGGGCCTCAGATCTCAGGGAGGAGCAGGCAAAAAATGTCCAACTCCATTATGAGGCTGCCGTCTCGCAGCAGAGTGACAAAAATGAACATGTCCGGCTGACTGGTGAACTTGAGGATGCCCTACACAAGAGTCGGCTTGCTGAAATGCAGCACCAGCAAGTCAGAGAAACTTGTTCAAGACTCCAAGAACAACTCAAAAGGGAGAAAACCCACCTCTCGGGGGCGCTCAAAAAAATTGCGATGCAAAGGAGAGTCTCAGCAGCCACACAGGGTATGACGTATGAGATGGAAACACTCAGGATGGAGAACAAGAATATCAGGGCTAAATATGAGGCTTTGGAGGCAAAATATGACTTTCAATATAAATGCAGAGCTCCCAGTCCATCAGAGAGCAAGACAAGACAAGCCCAACATCAAGATGACCTACAAAGGTCTATCTTGGAGGAGAGAGTCAGTCAAACTGCCTCTGCTCTTGAAAGAGAAAGGGACAGACTCAATCAGACTGCCTCTGCTCTTGAAAGAGAAAGGGAGAGAGCCGATCAAACTTTCATTGCTCTTGAAAAAGAGAGGGACACATTGGAGAAGTGCAATGTCAAACTCCACATAGCTTTGGTCCAGCACACAAAAGCGCTAGAGGAGCAGCATCGTTTGGCTTTAGCCCTCCAGAAAACTCAGAACAAATGTCAGATACAAGAGCAGATGAACTTTCAGCTCAGACAAGCCAATGAGCTGAAGATGAAGGAGCAGAAGGTTGCTTTGCATGAGGCAACAGATGCTCTACAAAACCTCCAGAAGGAACATACAGATCTTGGAAAGAAGCATAGTGAAATTCATTCTAATTACCGTGAGGTGCTTAAAAGTCACTCTGCCCTCCAAGTAAGATATGAGAGACTTGGCTATGCGACAGGGGACCCCCAAGCAGATCTCAATCAGTCTAAGTTAAACCTGGATTGGTGTGCACTTGGTTTATCCTTTCACAACTCCAAACCCTGCAAAACCCTGAACCCTGTTCATTGGAACTGAGATGATCTTTTGACCTCAATGTGAAATTAATGTACATTTTGATCTGACACCTGCATGGGCTCTGGATGTATGTTACACCAGTTTTCCCAATGTTTGTAATAAAAACATTTGTAAATGTGAAGTTCTTCTTAAATTATTCCAAAATCAATTGGAATACATTGCTTTGAAATGTTTGAAAATCATTAGCTGAGGAAACTGAGAAACAAGAAACATGTTGCTGAAACACCTGAAAGCCCTGAAAGGTGTGTGTTTGCTCCTGTATATCTTTGTGAAGACCATTTTAATCATAGACCCTACATAGTGAGGACATTTTTGACCAGTCCTCACTTTTTTAATTGGCAGTTTAAGGGTTAACAGTTGGTTTTAGTATTGTATGTTTTAGTCTTGTATGTGTGTGTGTGCACGCCAAGTGGAAGACAGTCAGAAACAAAAAATCTAAAGTGATGATATAGTCTTCATACCTGGACACTAAAAAATGAAAAAATCTCAGAATTTGTTTTTAATTAAACTTAAAATAAACATTTGATTATTCAAATACAATATAATAATTCTGAATGTGACTTGAATAGCTGAAAGTCCTGGGACCTGTTTGAAAGATGTTTCTGGCAAAAAGTATGAAGAGGGTGAGTTAAGATTATTTTGGAATTAAAGTGGAACATATTGTTTCACACAAAAAAATAAATCCTCACTCATCTACTTACTACTAAAATAACCACTTAGAGGTAGAAAACTTAGACTATGCTAGCTAAGATACTAATTCTGCAGGACTTATTTTATCATCACATGTACTTTAAAAACACTGAATATTTAAGTCACAGGGAAAACTCAAAAGAATTTGAAAAACACAGAGACGTTATGATGTTATAAAAGCACTTTTAATAATGTTTTTATAATTCAATAAAAATTGAAAAAAACCTATTTAGAAACATTTCCACCAGGTGGCGGTATGACACCCTCAAAAAGACGCCTTGAAAGTGATGAAGACGAATCCAGAGAAGAAATATAAAATATTCCAACACACAGTTGGTTGATGGTTGAAAGGTGATACGTATCCGTGACAAGATGCGTAATGTAACATGATGCTAATCACTAAAGCTTACATGAAGGCAAAAATCCACCCGTAGAGCAGATGAGCATGTGTGTGTATTAAAGGCAGGAAAGTGAATGAAGTCCCTTGAGTTAGAACAACAGTATATCCAGCTTCAGGAATCTCATAGTGTTTTAGTGTGTTGGGTGTGAAATATGTCGACAGTGGTCTCATGGCACTGTCTGAGGTCATAGTCACAATATCCGATAGAGAAGCGGCCCTGTGGGATGTAATGCAACATATTTTACAACCTGAGCTCAGTGATCGATAACAGTTAAAGGATTGATTACTATGAAGTATAAAAACTCACCTTAGGTCTCTTGAAGTAATCCAATCCCCTTCCTATCTTTATGATCCAACCATTGTCAAACCTGTAAAACAAGATCATATCTAGATTACTGCCACAAAATAAAGCCAGCGTGATGAACATTAAGAGGTCTTATGTGTGACAGCTGCACCTGATCTCCCTGTCATGAATGGTAGAGGAGTACTGCAGATCCAGATCCACTCCATGAGCGCTGAGACTCTCTTTGAGCTCGGCCAAAGCTCTTGTCTGTTGGCTGCTGTCCGGCTGCAGAGGCAAGTGAAGAAGTAAACACCATCATACGACCCGCAGAGAGGGCAAAGGATGCTGTGGGCTCATTATATATAAATAACCTACTTCATCCTGGGAGGTGAGGAGATGGACCCTCTTCACCTTGCATGGCGCTTTTAGCAGCATCTCGCAGAACCGAACAAAGTTGTAGAGCTGTGGTGGAATGAGGGGATGAGGGGCATTTTTGATATGAGATTAAAACTCTAACGTGAAGCTATTAATCATCAAAACAAAGCGGTACATGGGTATGTTATTGTCTGAAAACAGATTAAATATCATGACTGTTTACACCTGATTGTCTACAATAACTTTCTCACTGAAAAGATTATGTGAAGATATAAGAACGGGTTTAGGGTTAGGGATTAGCTGGCCTGATCAATAATTTTCTTGAATGTGGCTAACTCTTATCAATGAGTCATAACTACTTGTGATCTGTACCTGGTGGGTGTGTCTTATGTATGGGTCCTCCACCCAGACCTCCGTCAGTGAACTGCTGATGTACGGCTTGAACAGAACCTCGTAGCTATAACCTGTAGCATCCTCTGATATTTTATTCTGCTCGTGGTACTTCCCGTCTGACAGGACAGAGGGAAACAAAAGCACATTTAGAGGTGTGTGTGTGTGCATAGATGGATGGATGAATAGATGCATGGATGGATGAATAGATGCATGGATGCATGGATAGATGGATGGATAGATGCATTGATAGATGGACGCGTGGATGGGTGGATGGATGGATGGATGGATGGATGGATGGATGGATGGATGGATGGACGATGACATCTACCTTCTTTCATCTGGCTGACAAGAGCTTTGATTTGCTCGGCTCGGGCCATGTAGCCTTGTGTCTTCTCTCTGTAGTGTCCTCTCTTGGAATCATCCTTCACAGCTGCTGACAGAGGAGACAAGAAGAAACAGTGACGGTCCCTGTCTCCGTGTTCACACTAAACTAACTATGGAGTCCAGACAACAGACAGAGACCTTTCAACACGTCGATCAGCAGCTGGATTCCCTCCTGGTAGCAGACCAGAGACTCGGCGAGGCGGCCGCTCTGGTCCAGCTCCACCGCCCGTTTCAGGACGGACACGGCGGCGGTCTCCATCCCTGACACGTGGTTCTGTGTCATGGTTGTGTCGCCTGATGTTCTTCGACACAATTCTATAAAACGGACAATGTGGTCATGATCAAATGTTGTGAGAAAACTCAGTGGAAGAAACGCTACTGCTTCCTGACGGCTGAGTGAGAGCACCACAAAAATAAGTCCGGGGGAAACATACTGCAAAAGATGGATAATATGAGTCAATCAATCTGTTATTTCCAATCAATCCATTTTTATTCATATTGTTTTACAGGAGATTTAGTGAATTGAAAATGATTTACACATGGATTTAGTGCAAAGAAAATAAAAAGTACAAATAAAATAACCGAACATTTGAAAACGAAAAATACGATCACTCAAATAATAGCATGTCGATTTTAAAAGGTAAATTAATTAAATTAAAGTGAAACAATTAATAATTAAGTGTGTGTTTAATTTTAAATTTTAAAATGTCGATGTTTCCAGCTCATTTTAAAGCCCCCGGTTCAACGGACAATGTTCGACAAACTCACACATACAGTAAAATGAAAACATATTTCTCTTACAGATTTTTAATAGTTTATTGATTCTCGGTTTAAAATATAAAATAAAGTGGGGTGGGAACTTTGTGCAAGTAATATTTGTCACATCGGCGCATTTGCACCGTAGCTCCCCAGCACTTCCGGTTGGGTCATACATGGAGGATGAATCCAACGTGAACAAACCGAATCGCTGCTGTTTTCCAGCTCTTGGATAAATACTTCGATAAACTTTAGTGTATGTGATGAGAATATAGTCACAGTTGTGTGTTCGTTCATTGGGTGCTGAGCTTAGTTGTGTGTTTGTGTGTGTGTTGTCGGGGGGACTGTAACCTTGATGCAGCTGAAGAAGAACTAACCGTGTCCTGAAGAAAACATGGCAGGTGTTTGTCGTGGTTTGAGCTCCTTGTCCACAAAGGTAAGAACATCACTGTGTTTTAGTTTAAATCATGTATATAACTAGAACCTGGACGATACTGACAGAATCCATTATGAAGTATTGCAGCACAGTCCTTAAAGAAACCAGGTCCAGTGTGTAAGAGTTAGCTGAAAGGGATCTATTGGCAGGAAATTAAATATAAAATAATCCTAGTGATGTAAACTAAACTGACCCAGATATAGATCGTGCCTGGGAAGAGAAGAACGTCTTTTACATTACCAGTGAAAATGTAATCAAAAGACAAGAGCCAACTATTCTTGGCAGTGTGTCAATTCTTTCCAAACACTGTTCATATGGTGGTGAGGAAACACGAGACACACCTTCAAAAGACAAATATCGTTTAAAAGGTGGAATGGATAGCAGTGTCTGGCTCTTATAACATATTATCCACTTTAATATGACACTTTAACTTGTTCCATAACGACAGATATGATTCCTTTCAGTAATGTAGATAAACCCATTCTCTATATTGAGTTCCAGTTTGATGTTTCATTTATGGAGGATGATTCTAGCAGCTACTTCAGTGTTGACACATCTTAAATGTCATCTAAAATTATGCAAACTTCGTCCTGCTTACTCATTTTTAAATGAAGCCAGAGATACTGTCCTGCAGTTTGTATTACATGTTATCAATGAGTCCAAATCTACAAGTCATTGTACTTGTGTTCTTTAATATAAGTGAGCAAAGCTGCCTTCAGCCTCTGTGTTTAACTCGGTCTTGCCACTGTTGTTTGTGTGTTTACAGATCCTGGCACAAGCTGCACCTTCACCCCAGTTTGTGTCTGCACGCAGCAAGTTTTCCAAAGCAAGGATCCCAAAAGAGGTAATAATCAGTAGGAGGTTTGAATGGAGACGATGGAGGATTCCATCCCTTTCAAATCAAAATGACCAAAAAACAGTCACCTTGTGGAATTATTTTGCTTGTGCACGCACACATATGAACACACTCCGCAGCTTAGCACAGGGTAATAAAGCATGAATGAGAACCATAATAATGATGCTGCTTTGCTCTGCACTTCTAAACAATTAAATTACTTCTTCGGTGTATCTTCCATGTTGTTAATATTCAGCTTCTCTGTGTTTCTTTACAGCTCTTTGCTGAGAGATCAAAGGAACATGAGAAATATGGAGGAGATCCAGACCAACCTCATAAACTGCACATAGTGACTCGGATAAAAAGTGTGATGCGAAGACCGTACTGGGAGAAAGACATGGTGAAAGATCTGGGGCTTGATAAGGTAAGTAAGACTGTTAACCCATTTCAGTTTGCCTCCTCTGTTTTAATGTTTATGACAACTAAAGCCCATCCTGTGATGAGCCATGAGCGCTGCAGTTTTTACAGTAGAATCAAAACCTGCTCTAGCAAAGTCCCTGCTATACTAGATGTCTCTAGTTCCACATAATGACAGATACACAGACTCATGAGTTGAAAACAAAACCAGCCATGCTCTCAACAGGAAGTAATTTGAGAATAGTAAGCTGATCTACAAATCTGTCCGCTATAGATTTGTGATTTGTTTAGTTCTTTACACCTTGTTCTCTCTTTGTGTTTAGGCACACGTCCCTGTGATTCACAAAAATACTCCTTCAGTCAACAACCGACTGAAATTTGTAAAGCACCTGGTGAGGTAAGGTTCCTTTGCCAAAAGGGGGCGAAACACTTGTTTTGAATTAGGACATTAAAACTGCTTTCAGACTTGCATTGAACTCTGCACATCATCAAAGTCTTCAGTAAAATAAAGTCTGATAACTCAAGTTGCACATGAAGATTTATTTCATGTCATGTGTTTCCTGGTTCATTCAGAATCCAGCCTCTGAAGACGCCGTACGGACTCCCTGCTGAAGAGGACATGGCCGAGACCTACATTAACAGCAAGGGAGAGCTGATTGTCCGTCGCCTCCTCCAACCTCTAGAACCCAAGGCCATTGAATCCTAGCCTTACTCTCACTAAGTGATGGTCCAGTTATAATCCAGTTGTACATAAATATCATGTAAACATGTGCTCCATGTATACCAGTTCAGATTCCACAACCATGACAGTTGAGAAACGGGTTGCTCATTTTCTATATTAAACACATTATACAAACTAGAATTCTGTGTGGTTCTGTTTCACCTTCTCCAGAGTGGTTTTTACCAACTTTCTTCAGATACCAGTTACTGTTCTGACATTTTCCATATGTAAAAATATAACACACAATCATCCATTCGCTGTAGCTTCTAATTCTACAGAGGAGTGTGAGAGGCTGGAGCTGATCCCAGCTGACATTGGATGGGAAGCAGGGTGCACCCTGGGCAATCACAGCTGATGCTTGGAGACAGACGACTGTTCACACCCACAACACGACTTTCCACAAACTAATCTTTATCAAGGCTGTAAAGCCCATAGTGCTTCTGGAATGTTCTAATGCCACTGTTCATTCATACACACATCTCAATGATTGTATATTTTAATGAGGTTTCTACCTGATTAACATGTTGTGAACTATCTAAGAGGAAAGTTGGGAAGAAAATGACTCAGTGGTTAGATCAGTCACAAATGTGATGAGGAGAAACATATTGATCGTGTTACTGCAGGCAGCTCCATTACAACATATTTACCAAACAGGTCTGAATGTGCAAGGCCTTTCGTATCATTTTCCCCACTTAAGCGTATAGACAAGGATCATTACAAACTCACACGTGCAGATAATTCCTCTTACACTTTTTATTAATGGTTGGTTGAGACTCTTGCTACAAGGAAATGTGTGAAAATGTAATCTGATGCTGAAAGATAATCTTGGCACACACGATGGTTCGATTCTGTTCCAACACAAGGCAGATACAATAAAAAATGAAATAAACGAGAAAAACTAAATGAGCACACGTATAATTCAAGATAAAACTTTCTGAACTCTAAAGTAAAGACAAAATCAACATCATCACAATGCGGCTAAGAGACATTTGATAGATGACTGGAGTGGTGGCTCAGTGAAACATATCCGCTATAGTTTGATGTGTTTTGTCTTTCTTGTAGTGTATGTTCATTGGAGTCCAAATGTCTCACCTGTCTTATGTTATTTCATCCTTAAAGCATGTAACATTGTTCAGAAAATGGCTGTATGAATTATGATCAGACAGAATTTCAGCAAATTTCAGGCATTAACTAGAGAAGGTGAAGTTGCATGTTGCAGCTGGATACTCCTCACCTCACCCTCCCCTTCCCAACATGAAATAGAACCTGTGGTGAACTTCAGTTGTCATGAAAACTTAAAAAGGTTTTAGTTTGACCAGTGTGGACGACAGTGAAAAACATGGCGGCCTCCACAGGGGACCCCCCTCCATGTAAATATAACGTTTTTAAATTTAAAGAGCCATTCTATGGTAAAGAAAACTATTCAGACAGATTTCTGACAAACATTCCTTTCACCTTTATCTTACACACCGAACCTTTAACTACTTTGCTCGACTTTTCATCTCAAGCTGCGGTTATGCTTGACGGACTGAAAAAAGAAAGAAAGACAGAAATCATTTTGGAACTGGCTTGTTTCCTCCAGGAGCACCACTTCTGGCTTGTTTGTTCTTCTTTGCACTGACAAACCAGGGGCAGAGTACTTTTTTTTTCATCTTCTGCAGAATGCTTTGTCTTTAACTACAGTTGCTGTAATCTCCCTTCAGGAGCCATGTGGGAATCTCCATTCTCCCTCATTAATGATGGAACATAGAGATGGACCTGTTTGCCATCTCTTGCCTCCAGCTGTTTGGACTAGCTGTGTACAGAGTGAGCAAAGTTAAAAAGGTTGGAAGGTGTATTTTTGTAATTCGTTAATTGAGGCTGAAACTAAAACATTTTTGTAATGAATAAGTAAGTCACTGAGCAGAGAGATGAAAAATGGAAGCGGGCTCTCTGGTGGACATTTGTTTTTTAACGAGGTAGCCCAGAGAGAATGCCAGACGAGCATCAGTGCATTTCAGTCATCTCCAGAATCAGAATCAGAGTTGTTAATTTGGCCTCTGATGGTTTTCTTCTCCACTTTCGTAAACTTTGAGCCTGATCTCTGCGTCGATGTGGGGGGCTCCATCAGGTTACCACTGGGATGGGAGAAAGAAACATTAAAACAGTGTTGTTTTGTTGAAAATAGCACAAGCTATGTAGGCCTTAATAGACAAAGGAGGGAGTCTGTGTCTCACCTGTAGTTAATAACACCTGCACAGCCAAGCCTCCACTCAAGCATCTCTGTGGAAAACTCATCTGTGTTTCCCAGGTCAGCGAATCCAACCACGTAGTCCTTTGTTTTTCCATCTATCAGCAAAGCCAGTGTGGGAATGACCTTGATGCGCAGCCTCTCCGTCAGAAATGGGGCCTTTTCTACATTCAGTTTGATAAATTTGGTCTCAACGTGCTTCTTTGCCAAGATGGCCAGATGTTTGTCGATGATCTTACATCTAAATGTGAGGGAGAGAAAACAGACATCGAGTTCAGCAGAACAGAACATTCAGAACCAAAAATAATGTTTCAGGAAAAGATCTAACATGTCATTATGTTAATAGAAATCCTAAAGAAGAATTATTTTTTCAGTTTATCATGTCAGCCGTTTCAATTTACAAATGTTTTTATCCCCATTTAAATGTCTCAGTACACCTGCTGCTTTGTGTCTTTGCTGATAAAATAACAACTTTTTAATAATTTACCTGAAGGTGGAACTTCTGTAGAAGTGGCAGACGACATTCTTGCTGTCCTTCACCTCGCCGAAAAAGTCCTTCTCACTTGAGATTTCTCTGTACTCCCCATGACCTTTAGACAACCACTCCTTAAGAACAGAGAACGAAGGTTAGTAACAGAACAAGAGATCTCAAATAGCAGTTAAAATAATACTCAATAAGAATAGAACTATAATCTTTTCTGATACCAGCCACTCCTTCCTCAAAACTGACAGATTATTGAATCTTCTTTCAGAGTCTTATGCAGCTAAATACTACAATTCACTGTATTAGAGTAAAGTGACAACGTCCACATACCTGCTTCTGTTTCTGGGCTTTTTTAAGGGCCTCCATTCGCTTTTCCTTCAGTCTGTCGAATTCATCTTCATCCATTTCATTCAGTTTGGACAACTGTGCATCCACCTGCTCCTCCACCAGCCTGGCTGACTGCTCCAAAACCGCTGATAAGATATCCATCTGTTGGTTGGCCATTGCTGCCTGCTCAGAGTAAAACTTTCACTGAACCTTCCTGAATAAAGAACAGACACAGTGAGCAGAGACATACCTACAAACTTATCTGTGACTGTGGATCTACTCTGTTATTTCTGCTGTGATTCAGTGACATGGTGGTCACTAAGCTAATCAGACTGCAGTTGAACAATTAGTCTGTTAATAGATAGAGTTGATCAGAAGAAAATTAATCAGGGGCCATTTTGATAATTGATAAATTGTTTCAGCCAAACAAAAATGTCACTTCCTAGGTTTAGCTTCTTAAATATGACAATTTTCTGTTGTCTTTATCATATTTTGTGACTGTGACTTTAACTGGCCACTACTATAGGTCATGGAGAAGCAATTCTCATATTGTTTTAAATCCCCTTTCCAGCTCCACACTAAGCTTTTCCCTGACATAAAACAATAAAAGCATTGACCATTATTATAAAATTTCAAAAGTTTGTTTAGTTTGTTTATATACATGTGTGTGTGCAGTGAATGGGTTGCACACGATTCGTTGTATTGCACCGACAAAATGCATGTTGCAGTGTCGCCTCTGTGAATTCTCCAGCTACCATCCACCTGGAAACAACAATGACGAGCATTGTCTCTCTGCAGGGCTCACACACACCGAGGCCTTCGTGTCAGGACGCCGTGTTGTACAGTTAAAGGATCGGAGCTAACGTGACCTTCTACAGAGAGAAACACTGAGAGACGAAGCCCGAGCAGCGTCTGTCAGGTGGAGACAAAACCACGGTAACGGGACACGCCTAGATTGATCCCCGGTCGTTAGCCTGCTTTCCCCGGGTAGTTGTTCTGGCTGTTTCTTTACTGAAGAACTCTCTTTTGACTTCCCGTGTGGCTCATACACACTCGTCCCTCGACTGATATTTGTTGCCGGATACAAAACCTGGCGAGTAGATGAACGTACGTATTCACATACGTAGTCTTCTGTTAGCATGCTAAGCTAGTTAGCCACCGTTAACCCCGCAAGTCTAGAAGTGGACGCTCCCACATGCATGATGGGAAACTCCTCGATCGGTGTGAGCTACATGGTGAATCGATTATTATATCTGGCGTCATGATGGATAAAAATATTGATCATAGTTAAACTATCTTCGAACGATAATTACCTGGAGATGTGACGGTTGCAAGATTGGTGCGCGAAATGCAAATGCGACTACCGGAAGTGACGCCGTAAGAGCCCCGTTGTGACGTCATGAAACCACATCCGGGTTAGACAAATCAGTAGGAAGAGATGTCTTGGTTTTTTTTTTATTATTCCAGAACATTTTAATGAAAATGTTATTTTACTTTGGAGGAATGTAAATTATTATAATGGGCAGATTCCATATATATAATATTTCTTGTTTTCTTTTTGTTCTTTTTCTCACAAATGTACATGTTCTGTTCATATAAGTTGTTTCATTATGTTAGTGAATGAAAGAGATGCATAGGCTTCTCATTGATTGCCAAAACCCCAGTCCTCTGGAATCAGACTGCTACTGAGAATCAACAGTTAACGTGAAGTGCTTTGGCCAGCTTCTGATTTCCAGGTTGGAACACTTACAATGTACAAAAACTCAAAAGGTTTTAGTTTGTCCAGTTTCGATGACAGTAAAAAACATGGTGGCCTCTACTTAAACAATGAATAGGCACTTGGACATCCTAGTTTTTAAAATACTTAAAAATGGACAAAGACAAATTCATTATTACAGAGTTTACAGTTTATTACCAAGATTTAGAAAAACTTACAAACAAGTTCACAGCTTAAGGTCGTCAGGCACAAGCCAGTTCAGAGAAGACAAGACTGGCCAAGTTTAACTCCTGGCCATTCCCTTCTGGAAAGATATGACTGGTGAAGAGAAGCAACATCTTGAAAATGAGTAGACACTTGCACATTATGAATTACATTCATTTCAACTAGTTAAAAAAAGAAACATGACAGTTTGATTTGGTTTGCATATAGGGAAACTGCTTTAAACAAACGTATGCGACAACACACATCGTGTCTTGCGTGGTGAGATCCTAGTTACTTCTGATCACCATCATCGCCGTGATAACAGTTCATTTTAAAGAAATATAATGATGTAACCACAAATTTCTCCAGCAATGTGAAGTTACAGAAGATCACATCTCCTGTTCCTATGCAAATCCAGCATTTTTATATTCAGATTTATGAAACTAGTGAAAACAGACTAAAATACCAAGATTTACTCCAAGTACAAAGCATATATGAAACGTTACATTATCTCGAACGGACATCTTACTTGTTAGTGAATGAAAGAGATGCATAGGCTACTTATTGATTGCCATAACCCCAGTCCTCCGGAATCAGAGTGCTACTGAGAATCAACAGTTAACCTCAAGTGAAGTGCTTTGGCCAGCTTCTGATTTCCAGGTTGGAACATGTACAAACAAATGAAGAGTGAGCAGATTTACAATTTAAAGACAGTTACTAAGAATTCACTACATGTAAACAATACAAGAGGTACGCCCTCTACATACATCTTTTCTTTAAAACTTTAAACAAGGATCTTTAAAAACATTATTTACATTTTATAATAACAGGTTTTGGCACTTTTTGCAACAAAAAAGAAAAAGAACAACATACTACTGCTTGTACCAGAGTCTATTTAGTTTTTTATGAGACAGCATTAGTAGATATTTCACTGGTCGGTGCTAAAGAAACATACATTTTTAGAATTTTGATATCTGAGCAGTGCTACAATTCCAAAATTGCTAAAAAGCCATTTGTGTTTAAACATGATGATTATGTCATTATTTTAAACCTGGATTGACTGAATTTACCTTAAAATGCATCTGAGTGACACAATTTAATCCTTTAGAGAAATAGGGGAAGTCACTTGCTGTAACAGATGGAAAATATTCACCAGGGAAATAGGAAACTCAAATCTTACCAGCTCTCTTTTAAACTGAGTGCTTAAGAAATATTGAAGTACTGCCAGCAGAAATCTTAAGATTAAATTTCTCATGCCCATGGAACTTATAGTTGGGGATAGAAAGAACTTTGTTCGAAAAACGAGGAATTTTCAAAAACTGCTACAACTATCACTGTTCTGGGTTTTGTTTCTTCAATAAGAACATTTCCAGTCCTTCAGATTGTGTAACTTGTCTCTTAAAGAGCAGGAAAAGAATTTACTGTACATACGTTCATCAAATACTGTCATGGGTCTCATACTTTGTGTCTGTGAAGTCATTACATGGCAGATGTGGCAGAGGCGTCACAATTGAGGAGGTGTCGAAATCTGTGCAATCTGCAGATGACTTTGTCAAAGTAGCAAAACAAGATGTGGTGAAGGAAACACAGTGAAATCAGATTCCCCTCGTTCTTCATGCTATCTTCAGGGTGCTACCGTAGGCCTGTTGCACAACCACCTGCACGTTGTCCAGGATGAAGTCAAAAGCCATACACCAGACGGACTCCACCGACTGCTGCATGAGTCTGCAAAGAACAGATCAACATGCAACATAAAGATCAGAATCAAGTTTAAAGACAAGGTTTAAACATCTATCGACTAATTCCAGAAATCTCTGTTTGTCTCTCTAGATGCGGGTCAATTATCTCGAGAGCCCTTCATCTTGTTGGCTTCATATTTGACATGTGTGTTGTTAAGGGCCCAAAGAGCAGTGTTGAATTTTGTGCGATTTGGATGATTTGGAGTTATAAAGAATGAAGGAGGAGCAGCAGGTGTTAACTCACCTTTTCATATATTTCATTACCAAATCCAGCATCTCTAGATCTTTGTCCTCGATCAGATCAGTGCAGTATTTCACCACCTGCAGGATGTCCTCCTCCATAGGTTCTAAGAAAAAGGAAGTAGCGATTATATTTCTGCAATCCTAGAACCAATATGTGTTGGCACTGCTACAGAGCTGCACTCCTCCATCTACCTGCAATGGTGGTGACCCATTCCCGGAGGAGGGTTTTAATATCCGTCAGGTCACAGGCTCCAGCCAACGCAGGAGCAGGACGAGGGATGAATTTGGACAGAGACTCTGGGATGTCTGGTTTTGAGGAGGATGCCGAGGGAACATTTTCAGTCTGGGAAGAGAAAACAGATGTGAACTACAGAGATAAGCAACAAAATTCCATAAATTGTCCATCCTCGCACACATCAACCAGAGAAAAACAAGACCTTAATCTTCATGTATAAAAACCATGTATAGACTCACCTTTACTATGTTTGATTCCCGGGATGTTTTAAGAGGTGGCAGGGTTTTAGCAGGGCTGTTTGTTGTGTGACGCCTCTTCGTAGGAGAAGGTCCTTTTTTAACCGGACTCGCTGCATTTTTTCTCTTGTAGCGTCGCTTTATACGACTGACGCCAGTCCCTGCTCCTGACTGTTTGAGCTGCAGCAGTGAATTCTTCTGCTCCACTGCAGAGAAACAAAAAGGACGAAAATTAGGTGTATACGCATTATAATGAAGTAGAAGACATTCCTGTACAACTAAACCATGGGCACTTACACATTTTTGTCTGAGGTTGGACAGTTATGCGGTTATAGGCAGACTTCAGTTCTTCCTGAAGCTCTTTGGGAAGGGCAGCGAAAACATCTGGATCAACCTGCAGCAAGAGAGTCAAGAGATTACATAAAGCAGAAAGAGAAGTTGGCTCCATCAGTGAAAACAGCACTCAGTAGTGTGGTGGTGAAACACGACAGCCCCCTCACAGCGGTCATGCTCCAGACTCTTGGACAATGGCATTCCTACCTGTGAGAAGTTTGGTAGTTCCAGTACAATTCCGGGGGTGTCTGGTTGGTTTGGAATCTGAAGAACCAACGTTCCGACATGTGGAATGTTCAGTGCAGGTCCAGAGGCAGGAGAACGAGGAGGTGAGGTCGGACACGTCTTCAGGGAGGCGGACTGATGAGGATGAGGATCAGACGTCTGTGGACTCGGTGAATGACGACTGTTTTGTCTCCCATCCCGATGAGTCCACGACTGCTCCACTTGCTCCCTCAGCTCTGCAGGCAGGGCCTCCAACACAGAACGATCCACCTTAGAAATCATAAAGAAACAGACTGCTGAAACAGTTTCACCAGTCGACTGAATCTGATATATCCGTAAAGCCCCTACCTGTGAAGGGGAGGGGATTTCGATACTGAAGTTGAGACGTGCTCGAGGATTCTTCGGAGTTTGTGCCAGCTGCTCTTTGCTTGTCCCTGGGATTGGCTCAGGAGGAGACACAGGATATGGAGCAGAGCCAGATGATGAGGCTGTGGACTCAGTCTTTTCCTGTGGTGTGTTGTTGTCTGCAGCACCTACAACCAGAGACAAACCTCTGTTGTGGGTTTGTGCACTTCCTTGACCGAGTAACAGCTCTTTGATGGAGCGTGTCCGCCGGCCTGTGGAGTCCTGAGGGACAGAGTGGTTTCCCTCAAGGAGCTGGACCTGGATGCCAACTCCTCTCAGGTCCTGAACCTGCAGCTTCATGGCGTGGAACAGCTTCATGACCGCAGTGGCGATCAGCTGACCACTGTCGGTGCATTGAGCGAGCATCACAGTCCTGGCAGCCGGAAACAGATCAAAATCACCAGGATAAGCAATAGAAAGAGGACGTTGTCAACCTTTAAAACATACAGGGATGACGGTCTATTACCTGGCCAGGCTGTCACAGATGCCATGACCACCGTATTTAGCCGACTCCAGTGGAGCTCCAACCTTGCGAACCATGACCTTGAGCGTCACTCTGCGACCCCGCAGCCCTGCTTCTTGTAAACGTCTTTGAACCTCCATGGACAAGTTATTCAGGAAACTCTCTGCCTCATCAATCTAGTAAGAGGTAGAACCAGAGAGTTACAGAGAGACAGCTAGGAAATTAAGGATGATAAAAAAAGAACAAGAGAATGCAGAGGAGGGAGATTGAGGGTCTAACCCTTGTAAAGCGAATGTTGTAGTTCATCTCTGCCGAGACAGACTTTCTTTCCTTTTCATAGCGGACAGGCCGATCATCCAGGCCTCTGCAAAAACGGAACAGGGTCTGTCCAGTCCGGGGTCCGAACTTCTTCTGCAGCTGAGACAGAGACACCTGCTGGAGGTCCCCGCATGACCTCACGGACATAGCAGCCAACTTCCTGCCCATAACAGGACCAACACCTGGAGAGAGGAAGTTACATTAACCATGTGGTCACATGTTCAGCTAAATGAAATGTAATGTAAATGTTTTACACACAAAAGCTAAGAGACTGTAGAATGATTAATATGACCAGAAGGTG